AATTAGTAGAGTCACCGAGACCTAGGTTCTTCATGATAGTCAGAACAGAGGAACACATCTCAACTGTGATCCATTCAATGCGACGCAGCGCACTAGTATAAACCAATAGCCAAGACAAGCTATATCCAGTTTATACTACAACCTAAACCGATAATCATGTCCATAACTATCTCAGTTGTGAATACCATTTATATCTTATAAGGGACCGACAATGTAATCTTCTGTGTGACTACTAACACACCACATTGTCTACAATATAAGATAATTGGACATTTAGCATACAAGCAATCATAAAGAATGCAACAATGTGAAAACATTTATTTCAGTCAAATGGGAAATCGAATAAATACAATCCAAAAGCTCACATAAAAGTTTGCTTTACTGTATACCCCAACACCAACCACGCAACCCCTGGAAAAGTTTGTCCGCCCAGTCGAAGGAGCTAAGACGGAGCACGGAGGGGAGCTTCAAAACTCTAAGTATTACGACCCAAAAGCATATAAACTTCTTGTCAAATCTGGATACAATCCAAAAGAAGTGAGTACTTTGGGAACACTTATTCTGCAAGCAGCAAAAACTCAAAAGAGGAATTCTGGAGTGGCAATAACTAGAGTTGGTCTCGGATTTGCGGCACCAAATCCAGTTCGGATCGCCATAAAACGAGTCAATTCTAATCATGTGTCCGAAGAAGGATTTTCATCCACTGATCATTTGGAGCATAGAGAAAGAAGATCGGTATTTGAAAGGCTCGGACCCATTAAAGAGTTAAAGTCCAAAAGAACGAGTCATGAAAGACTTGGTATTCGAAGGATGGTAAGATACGGGAAGATAGAGAGAAAGTTCCACGAGCTTCGAAACTTGATACCGCCACGAATGAAGAGACATACCACATTGATTGTTTCTAAAAGATGTCCCACATCGGTTGTTGAGGAGAACGAAGCATGCCATATAAGTGGCTGTGGACACCTCAACCTACAGGACGCGTTTTGGTGAGCTAGCTCCCAAAGGCAAAACCGTGAGGGAATGATCTGGTGTATACCCAAAGCGGACAATATTCTGTAGCGGGTGAGCTGGGCTGTTACAGGTGGTATCAGAGCCAGTACCCGGATCGATGTGCCAGCGAGGGCGCTGGGCCCTCCAAGGGGGGTGGAGTCTAGTAAAATATGTCCCACATCAGTTGTTGAGGAGAACGAAGCATGCCATATAAGTGGCTGTGGACACCTCAACCTACAGGACGCGTTTTGGTGAGCTAGATCCCAAAGGCAAAACCGTGAGGGAATGATCTGGTGTATACCCAAAGCGGACAATATTCTGTAGCGGGTGAGCTGGGCTGTTACAGGATAGTAATGTCTTGCAGACGAAGATGCAAACAATCGTGCACACGAGAGTAAAGGGTGAAGAAGAAAGTGATGGAGAAAGTGTCGCTTCGACTAATCAAGTGAGTACTGTTGCCCCAAGAGCAAATCCTCGAAACATCGGAAGCTCCTTAAGTCGAACAATCGTTGCATTGGTGAGGAAAGGGTTTATTAATGAAGACAATACCACTTTGCATTTGCCTCGTGTCGTAAGAAGGGACGGACGAGTTAGAACATGTGTTGAGTTCAAGAGTCTTGATAGCCCTGCTGAAGATGTTGCATATGTAAACCATATCACCATATGTGAAGATACCCAAGAAAATGAAGAAGACGCTGAGGATGCCCCTGCTGAGCTTGAAGAAGGAGTTGAGGCTACGGTTGATGAGCTAAAAGAGATCAACTTAGGAGACATGGAAAATCCTCGGCCAACTTATATCAGCGCCCTTTTGACTAATGATGAGGATGAGGCTTATATCGAGCTGCTTCGTGAATATAAAGATGTGTTCGCTTGGTCATACAAAGAAATGCCTGGGTTAGATCCGAAAGTGGCAGTGCACAATTTGTCCGTGAGAAAGGGGGCACGACCTGTTAAGCAAGCTCAACGACGCTTTCGGCCCGATTTGGTTCCATTGATTGAAGTTGAAGTAAACAAGCTCATCGAGGTCGGGTTCATTCGAGAAGTCAAGTATCCCACATGGATCTCAAGCATTGTTCCTGTGAGAAAGAAGAATGGTCAAGTTAGAGTTTGCGTCGACTTTCGAGATTTAAATGAAGCATGCCCAAAAGACGATTTTCCATTGCCCATTACTGAACTCATGATTGATGTAACTACGGGCCACGAGGCGTTGTCTTTCATGGATGGGTCATCCGGGTACAACCAGATACGCATGTCGCCTAGAGATGAAGAATTGACTGCATTCCGCACGCCGAAAGGGATATACTACTACAAGGTGATGCCATTTGGGTTGAAAAATGCTGGAGCTACATACCAACGAGCTATGCAAAGGATTTCTGATGATATGCTTCACAAAAGCATTGAATGCTATGTTGATTATGTGGTTGTGAAGTCAAGAAAGCGAGAAGATCACCTTGAGGATTTGAAAAGGGTTTTCGAACGGTTAAGGAGATATCAACTCAAGATGAATCCACTCAAGTGTGCGTTTGGCGTCAAGTCTGGAAAATTTCTTGGGTTCATTGTCCGTCATCGAGGGATAGAGATCGAGCAAGCGAAGATTGATGCTATATTAAGAATCCCCGAACCTCGTGATATTCATGAACTCAAAAGCTTACAAGGAAAACTGGCGTACCTTCGAAGATTCATATCGAATTTAGCCGGCCGTTGTCAACCGTTCAGCCGTCTTATGAAGAAAGGTGTTCCATTTGAATGGGATAAGTCTTGCAAGAATGCTTTTGAAAACATAAAGGCGTACTTGATGAAGCCTCCTGTGCTGGTTGCCCCTGTGCCCGGTCGTTCGTTGATCCTTTACATAGCCGCTCAAGAGCGTTCTGTTGGGGCTTTGTTGGCTCAAGAGAATGATAATGGAAAAGAAAGTGCTTTATACTACCTTAGTAGAATGATGACGCCAAACAAATTGAACTACTCACCCATCGAGAAGATATGTTTGGCGTTAATCTTTGCAATCCAAAAGTTAAAGCATTACTTTCAAGCTCATACAGTTCGTCTTGTCTCAAAGGCTAACCCGCTTAAGTATGTTATGAGGAGGCCGGTACTCTCTGATAGACTTGCAAGATGGTACCTTCAACTACAACAATTTGAGATCATCTATGTCCCTCAAAAGGCTGTAAAAGGTCAAGTATTGGCGGACTTCTTGGCTGACCACCCAATCCCTGCTGAGTGGGAACTTTCTGATGAGCTACCCGACGAAGATGTGCTGGTCATTGAGATAACTCCGCCATGGAAGATGTATTTTGATGGAGCGGCCCATCGAGAAGGGGCAGGTGCTGGAGTTGTATTTGTGACATCTAATGGAGAAGTTCTGCCTTATTCATTCACTTTGACCGAGAATTGCTCAAATAATGTTTCCGAGTATCAAGCTCTTATACTTGGGTTGGAGATGGCAGTTGACATAAAGCAACTACGTTTGAATGTGTATGGAGACTCTAAACTTGTGGTTAATCAATTACTTGGAGAGTACGAGGTGAAGAAACCTGAGTTGCTTCCATATGTGAACTACGCCAAGAGACTTATAGGATGGCTTGGAGACGTGACCATTGATCATGTACCGAGAAAAGATAACAAGCAAGCCGATGCACTCGCAAAGCTTGCTTCGTCGCTCATCTTGCCTGAAGATAAGGCTCATGTTCCTGTCTGTAGGAATTGGGTAGTGCCACCAATCTTTGATGATGATGAAGATGATGAGAAAGATGAAAATGCGTCAGCCTCTTGTTGACTACTTGAAGTATGAGAAGTTACTTGACGATCTGCGAAAGAGAGTTGATGTGCGGCGACGAGCACCTCGCTTTATCTATTACAAAGGCACTCTCTATCGACGATCCTTTGATGGAGTCTTCTTAAGATGTTTGGGAGATGATGAAGCGATTCAAGCTATGGAGGAAGCTCATTCTGGAATTTGTGGTGCTCATCAATCAGGCCCGAAGCTACATTTTCGGATCAAAAGAATGGGGTACTATTGGCCGACGATAGTTAAAGATTGTATGGACTATGCCCAAAGATGTCAGCCATGTCAATTTCATGCAAACTTCATTCACCAATCACCCGAGCCGTTACATCCCACTGTTGCTTCATGGCCATTTGATGCGTGGGGTCTTGATGTGGTTGGACCTATGACAAAGTCTTCTGGTGGTCACCTATATATTTTGGCTGCAACGGATTATTTCTCTAAGTGGGCTGAAGCAGTGCCTCTCAAAGAAGTGAAGAAAGAAAATGTCGCTGATTTCATCCGCCTTAATATTATCTATCGATATGGGATCCCTCGATATATAATAACGGATAATGGAAAGCCGTTTTCAAACAGCCATGTTGACAAGCTTTGTGAAAAATTTGGTTTCAAGCAACGAAAGTCCTCTATGTATAATGCTGCGGCTAATGGACTTGCTGAAGCATTCAATAAAACTTTGTGCAATTTGTTGAAGAAAGTAGTTGCGAAATCGAAACGAGATTGGCATGAGAGGGTTGGAGAAGCCTTGTGGGCATACCGAACCACTTTTAGGACGCCAACTCAAGCCACTCCTTATGCACTTGTCTATGGCGTAGAAGCAGTTATTCCCCTCGAGCAGCAAATTCCATCATTGAGGATAGCATTGCAAGAAGGATTGACAGAAGAAGAAAATGCGCGCCTTCGCCTTGAGGAGTTTGAGGCTCTCGATGAGAAAAGACTAGAAGCTCAACAACGACCGGAATGTTATCAAGCACGTCTTTCTAAGGCTTTTAACAAGAAAGTTCGATCGCGCTCTTTTCAAGTGGGTGATTTGGTTCTTGCTGTGAGAAGACCGATTGTGATGACACATCGTGTTGGGAATAAGTTCACGTCAAAGTGGGATGGTCCATATGTTGTGAGGGACGTCTATACCAATGGCGCCTACAAGGTGGTAGCCGAAGATGGTTTGGTAGTTGGTCCTATCAACGGGAAGTTTTTGAAACGCTATTATGCGTGATGTACCTGCATGGTAATCACCTGATACGGTACGAGAAAAAAAATCCAAAAAGCTCCTGACCCGCACGAGTATAAACTGTGAACGGTAATCACCAAAAAGCTTTGCATGTGATTAAACTGCTAAATTCTCCACCAATGTGAATATATGTGGTTAAACTGTTAATTCTCCCACTAAGGTGTTATGTGGTTAAACCTAATACTCTACTTTGTCTAAAGTAGTTAAAGAATAGTCACTCCTGGCCCGCATGAGTATAAACTGTGCACGGCACCCCCCCCATGAACAAATTCATGTTATGTTATTTTGAACTATGTTATGACTTGATCCTTTTAAAGGTACGTAGGCAGCTTAGATATTTTCTATGTTCAGTCACAAGATATATTCGTCTTTTAAGTTTGTCAATTTCGGTTGATTTGGTGAGAAAATGAAGTGCAACATTTGAGATCGCATGATGTGAAAAGAAAAAAATCATTTCGTTCCATAACCTTGGGTCTTATTACATGAAGAAATGAACATAAGAGTCGCAAACATGCCTAAGCAAAAGGGTTCAAACTTCCTAACTTCTCTTTAGTCGCCTTCAAATTTGACTTCAACATCTTCAACTGTTCAGCCACTTCTTCATCCAACGGTGGAGCATTGCTGATGACAAGGATCTCCTCTTGAGTTAATTTCACCTTGGCCTTGGCACTATCGAGTGACTCTTGTTGCTGCTTCAATGTCTGGGATAATGTTTCTGCCCTCGTCTTCAACTGCTCAAGCTCTTCCATGACTCGCTTTAGCTCAGCCTGAGTGGACTTCACTTGATTTGATTCAATATCCTCATTCGCCTTATGTTCACGAAGACGGTCTTTAGCTTCAGCCAACTGTCGAGCAATATGTTCCTTCGTTGCCTTCTCTAAAGATTTCGACCGTACTCCGTCATAAGAGTCGGCGTTGTCAAACAGGACCTTCAACGAGCTCTCGATGGTGGAAAAGTTGAACTTGTCACATTTCTTCATGGCATTGAAAACAAGCGACACATCTTCTTTTATGGAAGACAAGGAGTCCATAGGAGTCGCCATGACCTTGTCCCGGAGGTCGTACCACATGTCTTGAAGATACTTCTTTTGGCGGTCAAGAAGGAACTTCTCCCCTTTGAACTCGGAAATGGCTGGAGCATGAAGCTTTTGTTCAGCAGCAAATTTTTTGGCGCACGTTGGAATATTTGCTACAGCAGTCCCTTCATCGTCTTGCGACTCCGCGTCATCGTCAGAACCAAAGACATCTCGTCGCACCTTAAAAACAACAATGGAATACATATATCAATTAGAAAGAGAACTTGAGATAGAAGTAAAGAAGAAGAGATAGAAAACCTTAGCAATGAGGTCCTCTGTCTCGCGTTGATTCTCTACCGCTTTTTCAACATGCTGATGGGAACCAGATTGCTGTTTTGCTCTCTTCCAATGTTGATCTGCATTGCTGCTCTCTTCTAAAGAGGTGGACCTACTTTTTCTCTTGTTGGTCTCAGGAATTCTGGCAAGAAGCACATCATCATTTTCACTTGTAGAATCACATTGGTGAACAACTGGCTCCTTGTCTTTTAAAGATATCACGTTCGGCTTTGATGCAAGTAAATCTTCTATATGGCGCTCAAGATAGCCTCCGTGAACTTGTTGCCACCATGACTTATAAGCTTGTGTCGACTTCTTCGGATTCGAAGATACGCAAGGCAACGAAGCTTTGGATGAAGATCCGCATAGAACGCTCTGTTGCCAATAGTAAATTCCGTCGTCAAGAGAGCACTCGCGGAAGTCTTTCTTCAAAATACCGGGAATATCTTGATAAAACCCAAATTGGCGACTGAATCGATGAGGACTATACGGCTCAATAAAAAAGCGACCGCCTTGACGCCACGTAAGGTAGTTGGACCGAATTGCCATGAAGTACCTCCATTCATATTTGGGTCTTCGTTGATTATCGACGTATCGAGAAGTCTGGTCTTTGATGAAGATATTGCAAGTCCATGAAGCGGAGTCCCCCTTGTGAATACGTCTGCGGGCTTCTTCGGGGTCAAAGTGCCTTGCGCCATTCTCACCGGAATATGTCACCATCAAGGGCTTGTGCGTTTGACCAATTGCGAAGTGAGTTTTAAAGTAGAGCGCCAGCCAACTGTAAACAAAGTGGACGGGAAATGTCGATCGAGATGGACTTTTGCAGCTTGTAAGCTCGTTCAGCCCCTTGTAGATGCTCGTCAAGACCGGAACCGCAAGGCCGACTATATAACCCTTGGCCATCATGCTTGCCATCTTGAAGGTGCCGGGGCGAATTATGTCGACGTCGTCGTTGGGAAGGACGAACACGCATATCCAACAGGAGAGGTACGCCGCCAAGTGAATTTCTTCTTGCAGCTTTAGCTCACTCACAACCATCTTCTTGAACAATTGATCTTCGGCGGAGGTCCAGCGTCGATGTTCTTCAAAAGTGCCGGACGGATTATGAGTTAACTTGAGGCGAATAACCCTCTTCTTCTCTCCGTTCCTCTTGTCGGCACGATTGGGAGGTTGTTTGTAGTTGATGGTCTTCTTCGACCAAAAATGCACCCATCGATCAATTGACACTTGTCCATCGTCGGTTTCTTTGCACAATAGATGATAGGCGTGGAAGAGATATCTGCAGCAGTGAGGAAGGCATAAATTATTATCTTTGTTGGTCCCGATCAACTCGTCTGCCTCCGGCACCACCTCGTCAAAAATGAACCCACTCAATGGAAGTCCTGCCAATGTATGAAGATCCCATAGCGAAATTGAAAGCTCCCCAGAAGACGTTAAAAGTGTGTTGGTAGAAGGACACCACGCTTCGCAAAATGCCTTTATGATCTCGGGATTGCAGTCGTAGGTGAAAAGCGAGGTGTAAACAACATCATAAATCTCTGCCTTGATCAAGTTGCTTCTGCATCGGCTAAGTATATCTTCAGTCCACTCCCAGTACCCTCGTGTGTAGTGGAATTCACCGGCAAAATTGATGGCTTCTCCCCATGCAGCTTCTCTTCGTGTGATACGTCACCCTAGAGTCGGCAATGGCAACGGCTCTGTCTCGTTCTGTGGGTTGTGGTCAGTCGCTTGTAAGATCCATGCTTTTGATTTCCTGAAGGCACACTCTTGAGTCCACTCGGTCACGGAGTCTGTAACTTTTGGCCACGTCTTCGAAAAGTCACTAGTGATTGGTTCTTCAACTGCAAAGCGGGTCCCTTTCTCTAGCAGTTGGTGTTTGGTGTCGAGAACTACTAAATATCTCTTTCCCCGGATGGAAATGCTCGTAAAGTAGACCATCTTGTTTGCTGCAATCGCAACAGTTGAAGATGAAATTTGAAATTAGAATAAAAGAATGTAAAAAAAAAAAAAAAGGAAAAAAGAACTAAGTGGCTTAAATTGAATAAGTTCGGTGAATTGACTTACAAGTAATTCCCTCAAAGAAATTTGCTCAAAGCTTGGAAGATTTCCGCAAAACGGGCCACGTAATGTATACCCTGCACAGAAGAAAAAGGGAAACATGATTAATCAAGGGGTAAGAAGAAGGAAAAGGAGCTCCAAAACAGCCCCACTTCGGTCCGAACAGCTCCAAAACAACCCCAATTCGGCCCGAACAGCTTCAAAACAGCCCCACTTCGGTCCGAACAGCTCCAAAACAGCCCCAATTCGGCC